GTTCCCATACTTGACACGTGGTCTTAAAAGGAAAAATTATGAATAAAATTTAAAATATAAAACAAAACTACTGGCTACCAAACAATTATTACCATGGATGTCATTAATAAGTTCAGAATACGTTTTGCGGGCAACGTCCAAGAGATCATTCACACCACTTTTCACGGCAAAACATTTTTGGAAGAGAGCTGCCTTTCCTCCTTTGGGAGCTTTAACATCCTCATGAAGAGTTTCCAGAATTCTAGCCTTCATAACATCACCTCGAGAATCTTTAAGACACTATAACAAGATAAAATAATGGATGAATTTTAAGTCAGTTGATTGAAGAGAATTAATGCATATGTCAATTCTTGTGAGACCTCTTTGGCTTTGCCTAGCAAGGTTGACTGTGAATTTTCCAAAGCTGCTCCAAGAAGGGGTAAAATTTCCAGAGTTGTTTTAAGCATAAGAACATAGTTGATTCTTTTTTCCATACATTGTGTGCCACCAACAGTGGATGGAGTAAGCATACATAATGTTAAAAGCTGTTCAACATCAGGCATTTCTTTTAAAATTTCCTGCATTTAAAAATATAGAGGAAAAGATCAACAAGAGTTAACAATGCCTGCAAAGCTTTCCACTTGATTTTCAAATTTTAAAATCAACAAACTCGTATTTTTTGGGCCATCTCAGAATTTTCCAACATTTCTTGCACACCATCCTGCCTACTAGTAATGATTGGCAAGGAGCACGGTGGGTGTAGCAGTGATGCACGCAGTAAACGGCTTCCACCATGAGTGCAACAATGATCCATTATCCCAACCAAAGTATGAGTTACAGTGTTACTCTGCTGGTTTAATAACAGCTCTAGGTTCTTAGCTGTTTTCACATCTACAAGTCACAACATCCACAGTAATTTCGATAGTAAAAAGAATAAAAATCTAAGGCGATATTTTCGTTTTATTTACCTATAAGTGTTCCATCATGAGCACCTTGATATTCAACTTTCAAAGAATGAGCAGCAAAAATTACATTTTGAACATACTCAACATATTTGAGAAGAGCTGCTGCAGCAGCAAGGGCATAAAACCTACTCAAAATAGGAAAACATTAATTAAGCTCAGTGAAATCAGGGTGTAACAAATAGGCAAAATGTTTTAAGTTGAATAGTGTTATTAACATACCTATCCTGAACAACCAGTTGACAAGATGAATTTTCTGGCAAACACAAATTTTGAACTTTTTCAAGACCATCAGAATCACGGAACAACCTTCTTTGAACCTTTGTCATAGTGGACTGGTTTAGTTCTTCACATAAAGACCATGCTATAGCTGTTCCTTCCTCCACTGAGGTTCCTCTGCATAGCTCATCGAGTGCAACTATAGAGGTTGGTGTAATATTGGAGAGAATAAACTGCATTTCCTGCATCTGCAATATTTCGTCAGCAAATCATTTTCAGGAATTGATTGGAAAATAATCAGCAGATGAAAGCACAGAAATTTCATGTGAAAGCCAATCCATACCTCCAGAGATAGGGTAGATGCATTATTCTCTATACTGTCATCAAAGTTTAAATGAGAAAAAATGTGGTCAGTCAACCGAAATACTGCCTGTTCAGCAGGAACAAAAGATCCAACCTGTTGAAAAAAATTAAGAATAGTCAGAGCAAATGTATTCTTTCTTTCTTCCAGATGGATGATTTTGGAGGGAAAATTTGAATGCAACACAACTCCCAACTATTCTTCCACACTCACTTGGGCCATGATTTGAAGCAGTAGAACTTGTCTTAGGTAAATGCTCTTCCCACTCATATTTGCTCCAGTAATTATACACAAATTTTTCCAGCTTGAGGCTTTCTGGTTGGTAAACAGTGGAAAAAAAAAAGGAAAATTCAAATGAAAAAATCCATTATGCATTCCAATACAATGTACGACATACTCACTATGTCATTTGCCACAGGATCACATGTAGAAAAAGATTCTAAAATTGGATGACGTGATAATTTAAGCGAAAGTTCATCTCCGAATGTTGGCCTGACATAATTATTACAGCTAGCTGTGTGAGCGAGGGCTAAAACTAAATCTATTACCGCTATACTTTCACACATCTCATAAAGATAACTTATATGCTGACGAATGTCATTCAAGACAGTCGTAAGAAGTCTGTAAAGGGAAACTTCTAAAATTTCAAAGAAAAAGAAAACTTCGCATTTTGAACAAGAATTTTGCACATACCTGTGACTTATTGATAAAATATCACTTGTGACATGTTTGATCCGTTCATTTGCATGAATAAGAGTATCAGTAGTGCATGTGAGGCAATTTCTGCTCTGCTGGACCTAAGAAAAAGCAAACATTATCGTACAGTTCAAGTCCTTAAGTGGACACAGGACTCAATCGTCAATCTCAGAGAGCACTGAGAGTGAAAGAGTGTGGGGCAGAGAAATTAAAGTACTTGACTTTTTAGATTTGAGGTTTATGAGATTCTTCAGTTCTGTGTGCTCTAAATATAATGTGTGGAATTATTTTGAAATCAACTTTATACATATTTAGCACCGCATGGGATTACCTGAACAAAAAATGGTGGCAGAGTAGATTTTTCAATACGATGATTTTTTTGGAATGTTATCTGAATATGGTATCCTTTAGTGACTGAATAGTCTATCTTCAAGGGAAGCGAATGGGTTGTTCCCATACTTGACACGTGGTCTTAAAAGGAAAAATTATGAATAAAATTTAAAATATAAAACAAAACTACTGGCTACCAAACAATTATTACCATGGATGTCATTAATAAGTTCAGAATACGTTTTGCGGGCAACGTCCAAGAGATCATTCACACCACTTTTCACGGCAAAACATTTTTGGAAGAGAGCTGCCTTTCCTCCTTTGGGAGCTTTAACATCCTCATGAAGAGTTTCCAGAATTCTAGCCTTCATAACATCACCTCGAGAATCTTTAAGACACTATAACAAGATAAAATAATGGATGAATTTTAAGTCAGTTGATTGAAGAGAATTAATGCATATGTCAATTCTTGTGAGACCTCTTTGGCTTTGCCTAGCAAGGTTGACTGTGAATTTTCCAAAGCTGCTCCAAGAAGGGGTAAAATTTCCAGAGTTGTTTTAAGCATAAGAACATAGTTGATTCTTTTTTCCATACATTGTGTGCCACCAACAGTGGATGGAGTAAGCATACATAATGTTAAAAGCTGTTCAACATCAGGCATTTCTTTTAAAATTTCCTGCATTTAAAAATATAGAGGAAAAGATCAACAAGAGTTAACAATGCCTGCAAAGCTTTCCACTTGATTTTCAAATTTTAAAATCAACAAACTCGTATTTTTTGGGCCATCTCAGAATTTTCCAACATTTCTTGCACACCATCCTGCCTACTAGTAATGATTGGCAAGGAGCACGGTGGGTGTAGCAGTGATGCACGCAGTAAACGGCTTCCACCATGAGTGCAACAATGATCCATTATCCCAACCAAAGTATGAGTTACAGTGTTACTCTGCTGGTTTAATAACAGCTCTAGGTTCTTAGCTGTTTTCACATCTACAAGTCACAACATCCACAGTAATTTCGATAGTAAAAAGAATAAAAATCTAAGGCGATATTTTCGTTTTATTTACCTATAAGTGTTCCATCATGAGCACCTTGATATTCAACTTTCAAAGAATGAGCAGCAAAAATTACATTTTGAACATACTCAACATATTTGAGAAGAGCTGCTGCAGCAGCAAGGGCATAAAACCTACTCAAAATAGGAAAACATTAATTAAGCTCAGTGAAATCAGGGTGTAACAAATAGGCAAAATGTTTTAAGTTGAATAGTGTTATTAACATACCTATCCTGAACAACCAGTTGACAAGATGAATTTTCTGGCAAACACAAATTTTGAACTTTTTCAAGACCATCAGAATCACGGAACAACCTTCTTTGAACCTTTGTCATATTAGTAAAGGGGAACTTCTCTTCAAGTAAGCTGTAGAGTTTGTTTGGTTGGCTTGAGTCAACGAAAGTATTTGGAATGAGTATCTTAGGAAAAAGACAAAATTGGTCTATAAAATAAATTAACTACTTTTAAAAATAAATAATAAAAAAAAAGATATAATACTTCTAATGGGCGAAAGACGGAGATTTTTGTAAGTGTGTTCGCATACGTTTGACGATCACTAAGTTGGCAGAGAATCAGACGGGGTCTCTTAATATCAATTACAGCCATCCCCACTTCTCCACGTGCATGGCCACGGCCTTCTGTGAGAGCTGGTCAAATAAAAGAAAATGGAAATAATTGGTAAAGAGTTGTTTCATAGCAAACACATTCCATGAAGAATAGAACTTCAAAGATTGATAGAAAAACAAAACAAAAAACTGTTAATTATGCACATTGCCAAAATTTTTCATCATACCAAGAACAACATGAGAATGTTGATTATCTGTGCCACTAGACGAGGATGGTGTAGTCCGAGGTGTACTTGAAACTATAAATGAACCATTATTTGGGGTGGAAGTGTTACAGCGTGGTGTTTTGGGTGGGGGCATTGAAGAGGAAGTAGGAGTTATAGAAGATGATGATGTTAATGTTCTGAAATAAAGAAAATTACATTATGATCTCCACTATATTAAAATATATTTCACAGGGAACTAAGATCTTACCTGGATCTCTTTGGACATTGCTTTCCAAGTGATTGACGACTGTTTGGATGAGGTGAGGGTGTGTAGGCATTACCCGAAGCAGTGCGAATTGATGAAGATGAAGTTCGGTATGCAGAAGAGCTGATAGCCATTTGCAGCTGCCAGTTGCTGGGAGTTCTTGAATCCCCACTGTCAGTTGATGAGGATGCTCTCTGCCCAGGCCTGAACTGAACTGAAACAGTGAAAGATGACAAAGGCTTGAGATAGTTGGTGCGGTTAAACAGGGTACTAGAAGAAAGGTAACAATTGCCTACTTGGATTAAAATCCAGAGCCCCTCTTCCTCGTCCTCTGGACTTCTGAGGACCCATGAGAGGCCTGCTTGGACCCCCACTGGGATTACCCCTTGGCTGGCGTATTACATTCATGGCTGTAGAGTGAAACCCTAAATAAAAGAAACAACTTCACTGGAGGCCTTTAATACGTCCGCTTAGCAACACAACCAAAGACGAGAAGCACAACCCTACACCCACTAACCAACCTGCAGAGGGCCCTGGGCACCTCGGATCGGGAAAACAGCAACTACCTATGGAATTGAATTATGAGTACTTATACTTATTTCTTGAAGAAAAGCCGAAAAACACACAAAAAATAGCTACGTAAGTTATTGGCTTTGACCACACTTTATCTTATTTGCAAATCTGCAGGCAGATGTTGCTGACGGTTCCGCCTCCGTTGCCGGTACACTCTCTTATTTGATCCGAGTGACACCATGCGCCTCTTTATTGCCGCCAAAGCTCGGAGCAGGTCTACCAACAGGCACAACTATCGATATGGGTACGCGCTGTACCAACTCAGCCAGAGATGTAGTACAACGATACCCTTTTTACACGCTTCACGTCTCAAACTCGTTTGTTTTGAGGTGGAAGATGTATTCCGTCCTTCGAAGGTATCAAACAGACGAGATTCCACCGTTTGAACTCGACCAGAGTTGGTACGCACCCGCTTCCGTTCCAAACGGAAAAATGTTTCATCGAATTGCGTGTTGAGAAAAAGACGTGAAAGTTGAAAGACTTTCCCATGCGGACAAATAAGGGGAAAGTGTATGTGTGTGTGTTATGTGTCAGACCGGGGGGGGGGGGGGGGATATAGTTTTTCGAGCCTTTAACCAAAGAAGAAGAGTTCCACTCACAGAATTAAAACCCCTTTTATTGTCCAGAAAAGGGACATTAAGGGGAGTCGCGCGGGTGAAAAAGCGGCAGACGTTCGACAGTTTGAAAACAGTCTCTCCTGACGCAGGGCGCATCAGAGGGACCCGCAGACCCGACCCATCTCCGTTCCGAACACGAAAAAAAAAGGCCCGTGCGGCGCGTGGCAGCGCCAGCCATCGGGCGGAAATAAGTGCATGCGAATGGCTGAGCCATCTCATCAGCAGGCCGGCGCTTTCATTCGCCCCTCCAGGACACCGCAGCTGGCTCCAGCCAGGCTCCACCAGGCGCGCACCGGAACCCATAAAAGCTGTCGCCTGTGTCGTCGGCCGCCTCTGGCTGCCACTTGCTGCTGGAGACCAGCGCCATGCAAGTGCTCCGGGACGCGTCCGCCAACACGACCAGCATGGCACCCAACGCCTCCAACCACCTCCAGGTCAGAGCCACCCAACGCGCCGCCGGTCCGACTGGCCGCGCCACGAGACCACACTCACTCGGTACTTCCCTCCCGCCGTCCAGGAGGCCATGATGGCGTCCGCTGCCTCCGTGCTGTACGTGCTGCTGTTACTGCCGGCCCTGGCGCGCAACCAGTCCATCGGGTACCTGCCGCCCTACCTGCCCTACCCGGCCGCCGCCCCCGCCGCGCTCCCCGCCCAGTGAGTACAGAACGCAGACAGCAGCAACCGCGGTGAATGTGGATACGGCAGGCTCGCAGCTGACTCGCCGCTCCTTGCCCCAGGTACCCGGCGTACGGGTACCCCGCCGTGGGCCAGGGGCTGCCGCCCGTGTACGCCCCCGCCGGCTCCCTGTCCAGCTCGCCGCCCTTCTCGGTCGCCCAGGGCGGGTCGCAGGCCGTGTCCCCGCTGGGCTTCACGGGCTACGGCTTCCCCGCGGGCTGGCCAGCCCGGCCCCTCGGGCCGTTGGCCGCCGCCCTGGCCACCGCCTACCCCTCGCTGTTCGCCGCCCTCACGGGGCCCTGCAGGTCCTGGTGCAGGGCGCCCAGCCTGCCGCTCTTCTTCCCGCCCAGGTAGTACCACAGACTGTGGAGCAATTCTTTTTCTCACCTCCCCTGGTGCGGCGGCTTCCCTTGGACCGGCCGGACCCCTCGTTGAAATGGCGCTGCTGCAGGTTCTATTGCTGCCTCTAGCAACGCGGAGTCCGAGTCGGAGCTGGCGGCGGCCTTCCCCCTGAGGCCCATGCCCGTGCTCGGCGCCCTGCGCGCGCTGAGGGCTGCGCTACGTACGGACCGCGAGGACGGCGCCAAGGAGGACAGGGGGCCTATTCTGCGGCTGCTCTTCCCTGAAGAATGAGCGGGAAGCGTTAGTCATCAGCATTCCAATACAATTGCAAGTAAACCGCATTGAAGACTCACATCATGGAGGAGTACGTGTCCTCTTCATTTCACATTAACAATCTATGGGTTGTGACAAGGGTGTTATTTAAATGATAGATCAGTTAAAATGTTCCGAATCTTTAATTTGCACATTTGATTTTACACTGAAATGTGTCAACTCTTCTGATGAAAATGAGCATACAGGTCTCTCAGTGCTGAGCACAGAAGTTTAGATTGGTAATAAATTAGACTGCAACCAACAAAATGCTGAACTACTACTTCAAAAGAAACAAAATAATTATGTAAAAACAGAAGAGTTATGGACTGGGATTAGGAGGGGAAAACTTAACATAATTTCAAAAAAAGAGGTCTCCTTCATTCAGCCATCTCATTATCCCACATGCACTAGTATAGAAATTCTGTATTAAAAGACATATTCGATTCAAGCAGTCATTTATAACCTACAGCTTCAGAACTACCATCACATTTAGGTAAAAACTTTTAATTTCAAATTCTAACAGTGGGTCTGACTTCCACAATACGTATCAAAAAGTTTAAAGTTATGATGGACGACATAGATAATGAAGACTTGAGCACCTTTAAGTATACCACTCAAAACAAAACTGGAATTTAGATCTAAACAACCACTTTTACAAAATTGCATGTTTGTAAGTTTTGATTAACAATAGATAACAAACCAAGATACCTTAAGAGTACAATATCAAATTAAAACAAACTAAGAATGCAAGATAGAATAGCACTAACACTTAACAGAGACAGTCTTTTCCTGTGGTATGCCAAAGAGAATTTTAGGCATTTAAAGTAAATCTAAGAAACAAGAATTTTTACACCTTGACACATTTCAAATACTTAAATCATTGAAGTGGCCACACCCATATTAAATGAAGTACTACAGCAGTGGTTGAGAATGACCAGTAAAAATCACTTATAAACTACCAAATTACAGGTAATAAAATTTTAATTGAACAACTGTCTAGCTAGGCTGGAAGGTGCTGCACCTTTAGAGAGTGGAACACAAGGTAATTTGAATCGGACCTCGCCAAAACTTAGTACAGGGTAAAAGGAACAATCAATGCAATTAAGAAATAAATAAGGCAATAAATAAAACCCACATGCCATTTTCCACAAAATACAAGATCTGTAAAGATTGAAGGAAAAAAAAAACAAGAAAAAAAAGAAATAACATATTAGTGAATAGATAATATGTTCTGACCTCTTCATCTTTTTCCATGCCACAGACCTGGTCACAAATTTGCAACTATTGCACAACAAAGCTGTTCTCTTCATCCAAACAAAAGTCTCAGCCTCAAGTCTCAGAATAACTTTGTACATTATTTTGTATATGTAAGTTTGTAACAGTTTTTTAAAAATATCAGAGCAGCTTCAAGCTAATATCAGAAGCTGGCATTTAAAAAATAAACTGTAATTTACATATATTACCAATTTTTCACACTTGATACATGTATATGTTTTTCAAACTAGAACATGAAGCTTCTTGTAGAAAAAGTAAAGACCAAATACAATATTTATTTAAATCAGAGGTAAAGGGGCCAGATCCCAGGGAAGCTGCATACATGGCCATGAACAAAGCACATTAGACAAAAACTCAAATGAAGCTTGTTTACAGTGATTGAGAACAAAGCTGCAATAGCAGGCAAAGGTGACTTTATTGATCACTGAGGAGGGTTAGTTTGTCAACAGAACACAAGACAAAAATTGATGTACAATTAGCAAAATGTCAAACAAAATGACTAAGTATATGTAATAACAGCACACACATTGTCTCTCAATCTTAGTCTTCATTGTGGGGACTTCCAGGTTACTAAATCTTGACTTGTGGGTAAACCTTCAGTTTTATCACAGCATATTTTAATGAAAAAGGTTTCCTTCAAAGTTTTCAGGGTTGCCATATAAATGACACTGACTTGCACACCACTAAGTAACACAATCCCACTGGACACATTCACAAGTGTTTCAATCGGATTTCAGAACTTAGCACAATCACTTTCACTCATTCTACCTATTGTTGCATTTCTTCTGCATCACGGCGCATATAGAAAAGTACATATGCACTGTTCGACTGTAAAAGTAAACAATATAGATTAAACAGATGTAGGATAGAAAATATTCAAACAGGAAAGAAGTAGATTAAAAAATTGCTTACCACAACAGAGGATTCACTTGCTTTCCGAACATGGTTATCATCAAACAAATACCAAGCATTTTCTACCTTGTTAAGTCCATACGCAGTATCTGAAATGAAAAGCAGACAGGTAAATATTAAGGGTACAGTAGGCATCAAACAGTTTTTTTCTTTTCACAGAGCAACTTACAATGACCACCAGCCAGATTTCCATAGTGATTACAAACACCAATGAGGTCATAGGTGGTGTTTTTGTCATAGTGTGGATCTGAAATATAATCGCGCAGCTGAAGACCACGGAGAGGGAAGTTCACAGTAGTATCAATTTTATCTCGGCGGTATCGATTGTAGTGGAATCTCTTAAGATGTATCACTAGGATTCGAGGTAGGTTCCACAGATCAAACTTTTTAGTGGCCTCTATGTGGTCCTTACATTTTGGACAGTACCTGAAATATTAGCCACATGGTTAAGAAACTATCAATTGATAAAATGCTCAAAGACTAATAAAACAGTAAGCTTACCAAGCTTCTGAAGCATCTAATTTCTCAGTATTTGTGTAAAGAGTTAAACAGTCTTTCAAATCAACTCCATTTGGCCTCATTGTACTGTGAAGACTTTCATGTTTATCGAAGTCTCGGGCAGCCGATTCCTTGAAGTATGTCTGGCGGCTTGCTGAGGTCCATTGTACAACAAGGAACTGTCTCCCTAAAGAATCTATGGTTGGAAGATAAGAGAGTCAGATGAAATGTTTGTCTAATGATACTATAAAGTTGGAAGGATGCAAGACAAACCTGGAAAATGGATAACTTTTGTATCCATGTCGGGAGATGCAACACTTTGAATTCTATGGTTATTCACAATAAAAACTCGGAAAGATGAACTTTGGTTTGATGAATCTCCATTGGTGTACTTCTGTTCATCATCATCTCTGTCCCAGTCTTCTTCTGCATGGTCAAACTCAAAACCACTAGAACCAGAGTATTCTACATGAACATCCATAGGCTCTAGACCATCATTATTTGGCGGCTTTCCATCACTATCTTCATCTTCATCTTCGGAGTCCTTCATACCTAAAATGCAAAGTTTATTTAGCAACAAGAACATTATTTCACCATTCCAAGTAATTTGCCTTCAAAAATTGTTAAATATTACTACTTACTACCATTGTGATGCACAGCATCATCATCAAAACTCTTGTAGGTAGGATTGGATGTGACAGTGATGTTCAGGAAAGGAGCCATTCTTTTCAAAATAGCATTGAACAGTTGGGTATAGGTGCAGCCATTGCGTGGCACAACAACAAATACTGGCAACCCAAACAACTGATTATTGGCAAATTCTTTTCTAGCATCAAGCTCCCATTGGCACACAGGAAGAGATACATATTTTTTGTCATGAATAGAGACCGGAATCAGATAGCTAAAATAAATAGATAAGCAGTTGAGTTAGTACAAGACATTGCATTGAGGGTAACAATAAGATTTCAATAATTGTAATATTTAGATATTCATGTCCTTACACATGCAATCTCTCACGGTCATCAGCAAACGTGTCAACAGTATCAGTTGAGTCGAAAATTCTTTGAAAGTGATGTTTGAAAACTTCTGTGGCAATCATTTGATCAACTGGATAATTTGTAAGTTTATGGAGTCCTATGAAAACATCCTCCATCCTTGCCCTTTGAGGGACTTGCACCTTATAAAGTGTTGGTTTCTGTTCTCCAGTATAGGGAAAAAACAAAACCTAAAAAAAAAAAAAAGGAATCATTTAATATTTTCAGATAGGTAATGGCATTAAGTATTGAGAGATTTCTCTGAAATACAAACTTACTTCAACATGACGTTCTAGCTTGGTGGGTAAGGGTAATGACAAGTAGCAAGATGGGTCAAAGGTGACTGATGTTATTTTACAGCGGGGACACCAAACAGTAGATTTCAAAAGCCCGTGGAACAATTCAACAATTATAGAATCATTTCTTTTCTTGTAGTTTGACCAAGCTTCAGCTGCCACAACCTAAGGGGTAAAAATTAATTAGAATAAATCAAAAATTTGATGGGCAGGCATTAGGAAAGGTGAAATGAATTAAGTACCTCATCAGGTCTGCCATCAGAATCTCTCTGCTTAATGTATGGTTTGTCATGAATACGATTTAAATCTTCGTGCAATCCATCCAAAAGGAAGGTGAGGAGTTCTTGAGCATCATGCTGCTGATAGCCTGAGAATTGGGGAGCAAACTTGGACACTTGCAGCTAAAAGAGAAAATAATAAAATTTCAAAATTGGAGAATAGGCATCATACAAAGTGCAAATAAAATTTTACAAATCTATTTGTAGGGATTTTCTACCTTGAAGTGGTGGGGCACAGTACTAGATGTACCACTCCACATTACTTTGATAAGTTCTCCAAAGGATTTAGCAATTTCCCCTCGCATTCCTAGGGGGTTATCTACATTTAAATCCTGGTGATGATGATCATTTAAGAAATAATCAGTGATTGGAGGAGTGTTACTCATACACTGTAAGAAGAAAATTTAAAATTTTAAACCACTGATGTAATTGATTAGATGAGAGACAACCAAATTTAAGTACTTTTACCTGTAATACACTGTTCATAAAGCATGTGTTACCCAAGTTAGAAAGGCCACATAAGCCTGTAGTGACGCTAACACTATGCTGTATGCTGTATCTTGTTGTCCTGCAACAAAAATCAATCTCTAACAATGTAACTAATAAGTACTTCAAAGAGTAAGAATTTTTTTGACTTCACTTACATGGGTGGACTAGTAGAAGGTGTATCAGGAGCAGGCAGGGGGATGGCAGTATTTTTATTTGTTTCCTTCAAGATTGGTGACCGGCCCATTGGTTCTCGGATATCCAACCTTGGATATAGAAAAGTAAAGTTAAGATTATAATTTTTAGTTCAAAAACAGTACAATCATACTTAAAGCTGCAAGAAAACAGTAGCAATAGAATATCTGTGGATAGAAAGTACTCACTTTTTCATGTGTTCTTTACTTGCAAAATTTCCATCTGGTTGCTGAGTGTCTAAAATAACAACACAGCTGGGAAATATCATTTCATCTTGCAAAGTTGAATCTGAATCCTTAATAAGATTGTATGAGGTCTCTGATATGCAGGTCCAAAGTTGACTTGTGACATTACTTGGAATCTCAAATACTGTTCTTGCAACTGAATGGAGAGTCGCTGTAAAAGAGAAAGCAAAGTTCAGCAATGAATGGGAAATTGTAAGGACTAGAAAATCTAACTTACTTAAATGGGGGATGATTTAATTGTTGGTTAACTTTTAAAGACGGAACAAAATGAAATTAGTAAAGGCATAAAAGGTTACTTACATGTTTTTTCTTTTCTGCTAAATCGATGTGATATAGTCTTGTTCAGATTGAAATCCTTGCACAGTTCAATCTCCATCAGATATACCTCCACTTTCAAATGACCAGCAAATTGTCCTACATCGACCACCTGAAATTAGTCAATATTGCATGAGTACCAAAGTTACCAGGAGAATTCAAATACCTATACAACAAATAATAGAAAAACCTACAGCTCTTGAGATAGGCTCTTGTCCTTCTGAAATACCATAATTGGTGACAATGTAGTCCCAAATATCTTCTGGCAGTAGCTTGTAGTCCATCTCATCAATCAGATGATCTTTAAGCTTCTGCTTGCCA